ATTTCAACCATTATAGCAGGATTTACACTAAGTCTCCATTTCTGGAAGGTTCCTACTAAAATGAAAAGCAATTATAGAAAGATAGACAACTAAGTACCAAGTACACCACTTCTATCATCATTTTTTAGACTCTCTATCCATCAGTGCTCCCAACATAAAAGGAAACAGAACAACCAAGAACTGTAGAATATGGGTAATGTGGGGGTGGGAATATGCCCAGGTTGAACCTAGAATGGATGCTCAGGAAAAAGCCTGAAAGCTTCTTTGGGATTGAAAGAGGAGAAAGCCTGGCACAAAAGGCAACTGAATTGAAAGTGTAACCACTGCAGGTCCACTTCCCCAGGTACCATTTCCATCGTAGTGGCCTATTAAACTTTGTATATGATGATGATGAGTATATCGGAGAGCCTGAATTAAAAACACAAAATTGCAAAGCTGAGTTTAATGAGGAAAACCTTTGCCAAGCACCCTGGTATTTGGTCCAACCTGATAGCTCCCCTAGTGCAAGTTCTGGGTCACAGAGCATGCAATGGCTAGCATAGAGGGCCCTTCTACTCTCATTCTCAATTAATTATAGAGGTTGGGTCTATAAGACCCTTTGTTAGAAATAATTAAATAATAAATGTCTATAAAGTAGTTTTCATGCTGAGTCTAATAAGAACAAACTCCACAAAAATCCAATTTAAACACTTATTGCTTTTCTGAGCCAGAATTAAATTGGATTTGTGTTTCTGAACTCTTTGGCACAAGGATCGACCATTGCATGGGTGGATTTGGCACAATGACTGCCTTTGGGACCAGCTGCACAGAGATGTTGTCTGATTCAAAAGTTGGTATTCCCCAAATGTGGCCTTAGACACAAATCATGGAGCCAACCATTTTCAGATTTCTGAAGAATACTATGAAATACTCAAAAATATGTTGTAGGCAAAAAATAATTCTCACACAAGTCAGTTTCAGAATGGCATCAACCGAATCCACTAGTAGAAGAGAGACAGGGCTTGCCAAAAGCAGGTAGGCGGTCTAGGATGTGCAGTTCCATAAGGATAAGAGGATCACTGCAGGTGTTCTGAAGCCATCAACGTGGTTCAGAGCACGGCTTTCGGGAAACAGAAACATGGAGGGCAGGGTGCAAGGGCTCTTCCAACTTCATAAAGTGTGTCTGGATTTCTTTACCTAAGCGTGCATTTCCTTATGAGGTTATGTTGCAATTCATTGAAAGTAATCATCATCATCATCAAACTTTTTCATGGTATCAAATGTCAGTGCTGCCTACTGACCAGAGGCATCTTAGACTTAACTACCAAGCAGTGCTTATAAAACAAATATGAACTTTAATTCCCTTTTATGTACTAAAAAGTGAGTGAATACCTGAGAAAAAAGTCTAAGTGTATATTTATTAGTTCCACAATTGGGATGAAGATGGCCATTTTCAGGTGAGCCAAAAGCAAGGAACTTGCTCAAATAATAAGTGTGTTGGATTGACTGAGTGGCTGTAGTGAAAGAATATAATTACACAAGATATCAAACTTAGGAGAGAAATGTCAGAGAAAGAGGAGGTAATTATGGGTATTGGAAAATAGCATAATTTCTTTGCTGAGATCCCAAGCAGACAGGTTTGCACCTCGGAATTTTGCTTTTGCCTATTAGATATTATCCTACACCAACAGAAAAGAAGCTTCGTGTTCAGGTTTCTCATCATTTTTTCAGAAGAATTTATTAAAGTTGGCATCACTGAGCTCAGCTGGAATCCCCCGCACATTCCCTCCCTAGTTCCTTTGCATAAGCAAGACTTCACCCAGGTGTAAATTATGATAGTTTGCCTACTATAGTGATAACCACATCAAGCAAACAGGGAAAACTAGAAATTAAGGGCAGGTAATGTTCACTTTTATTGCCTAAACTTAAAGGTAAATTATTATTCTTTGAATAATTCTGTGTAAGCATTGTAAAATACGCTTCATAATTTTAGAACCAAACTTGCTGCTTAAATTTTGTATATGTGACATCTTTAGGTTCATCATGTAAAGGCATTCTTGATCAGGAAGCAGACAATCTTAAATGGTTTTGTAGTTAAAAAAAAAAAAAAAACACCCAAACCCTAGATTTATTTTCAAGCCCACACATAATGTGATGGGCTTCCCTATCTTCACCCTTCCAATATGTATTCCACATTCTACGCTTCTGCATATGAAGCACTCATGAAACTTACTTTACCTCTAGCTCAGAAATTTGTCTAAGCCAATTAGAGTTTCCTGTTTTTCCCCCTTTTTTTTGTCCTGTCCTTCTTGACACAAAGACTGTAAAGAAATACCAGGCCTAAGGTGATTGGCACACAGCATCCAACAATTTCAGGGATTGGTTCAGTAGTACCCCAATCAAGGCAAAGCTTAGGATTTTTGGAATGTTAGAAAAATACTTTTTCTCCTTCTGGACAGTGAGATTTGAAATATGAAAGTTAGAAGAAATGCAGCCATTTTGACACCATGAGGAAAACCAGCATCTACAACAGAGTCAGAAAAGTAGGTTAAGAGTGAGATGAGTGAGCTCCGTTATGATTTCACTTGTTCTAGAACTTACATGACCTTTGCTTTTTGGATAGTCTTGAAATTTGAGACTTTTCAACCTACTGTTTTAGCTTTCTAAATAAGTACTTTACTTGAACTTTATAATTGTACATACGCCAGTAAATGCAGCATTGTGGAGATCCCTTATCTGATTTAATCAAATGCTTGAATATTTAAAAAAAGAAAAAAAAAACATCCAGTGCTAGATGCATTTTTGACCATGTAAACTGAACCATTCCTAGGCTGCTCTCCATGTACACAGTTCAGTTACCTGAGTCAATAAATTCTCACTATTACATAAGCCACTTTGTTTCCTCTTTATAGACTGTAAAAACTGCAACAGAATAAATTTAGAAATGCTTCTAATCCCTTTAGAACATCCTTTTCTCCCAGTTTCTCAGTGAAAAAAATACTCTGTATAGTAGGCCTATCAAAGGATGTGGTTTACTCATGGTTGTTTCTCTCCATCTCTCCCTCCCTCACTTCTTAATTCAATACACATTTATTGAGCATATTCTGTGTATCAAGGACTGCTGCATAAGTAAGACAGCAATGAAAACAAAGGACAAATTCATTAATGTCATGCTAGCACACAACAGAAGAGACATTACAACTCGTCACATGTTAGTGGTAGGAAGGTAATTAAGATTGCTAGAATGTCCTGGGCAACTGTATGGGATGGTCAGGAGAAATCCCACTGATAAGACATTGGAATAGGGCTGGGGATTTAGCTCAGCGGCATAAGCACCAGCCTTGCAAGCAGGCGATCATGAGCTCGATCCCAAGTACCAATTAAAAAAAAAAAAGACATTGGAATAGAGATATGAAAGAAAGGAGGAAGGTAAAAGTGAGAGAAGTCATTCAGGAAGGAACAAAGGAGGCTGAAGGCCCCAGGGCCTGTTCATTGAGTATTCAAGCAGCAGCAAGGAGGCTGGTGGCTGGGGCTGGCATAGGTGAGAAGGTGCTTATTGAACATCTTGGCCAAATTCTCCCCAAATCCTATTCATTCAACCACACAAAAAAGTACTTTAATCATCCAAGTCCTCTCTTTACTCGTAGTGATGTCTCGGGGTATGTCTTCATTGGTATTAATCCATTGATGTCTAGTGTTCCATTTTTGGAATGCCACAGACATGGGAACATAATAAAAATTTTTCTCTTCAAGTCCTTGTTCCATGAATTTTTCTAGCTAGCATCTATGAATTTCAGGCACAGTATCAAAAAGTTGCAACTTTTGGCATACACGGGTCTAAGTTCCCTGGTGGTAAAAATCCTCATTACTGGATCCTACATTTCTGCCATTATTCTTTGGGGTGCTTCTAGAGCCATCTGTAGAGGTTCTTGTATCAAGAAGCCCGTTGGTTAGAGCTGTTATTTCCCCATTATATATGCAGGTGGCCTCGACCCTTCTATTGATCTTGACCTTATCAGTGACAGAATTTCAGCATGCACCTCTCACAAACTGTATTTCCGCATATTTGTACTTGTGAGTTATTTTTATTTTGAAGGCCTATAAAAATCAAGATAAATAATACTTAAGTACAAACATAAGTTTTAATCTTTTCTTGTTTCCTATCAGTTGCTCCTGTTGTATGTACTAATGTGCAGTCTGCTGACTCTATAACATGGCAGATATTCCAACCTTGCTAATTCTACCATTTGTTTTCTTGTCTCATATTAATGCTATAGTAAAACTAAACTATCTTTGAGCTCCACAGATGTCACCTTTGTTTTTGGCCTCTCCACTTTGACTATATCATTTCATCTTTACCTTATTAGACCTCAGCAATTTCACCTTCACCTTTAGAATCACTTGGCTCACATCTATAATTTCAAGGCAACAGCATCTCTGGTGAGAAGTGCTCCATGACCCCACAGCACTTCTGTCTCTTTTCTGCACTGTGTTCTCATTAACTGCTCTGTGTCTCCCTCCTGCTGATCTTTGATTTCCTGAAGTCAAAGACAGTTTCAGTTTCATCTCTGCATCCTCAGTACCCAGGACAGCACTTGGCCAAGAGTAAACATTCATTGAATGTTTCTGGGGGTGTGAAGGTGGGAATGGATGATTGAATAAAAGAATGAATAACACTGAAACACACACACACACACACACACACACACACACACACACACACACTATAGTGAGGCAAAGGTGACATAATGTAGACTCTGTGGCCAGACTGCTTGAAATCTAAATTTGTCTCCACTGTGTTCTTGTTGTGTAATCTCATCCAAGAGCCTTGGTTTCTGTAAGTTTTGGTTGTCTTCCTTGTAAATGTGTGGTCACATAATTACATGTAACTCACTGGATAGTTTTAAGGATTAAAGGAGTTCAAATAGCAAGACTTTTCAGCATATAGATGCCACCTTAACAAATTCAAATTGTATTACCTATCAATAAGTGTTAAATTTCTCCCCTGTTATTTATGATAGAGGGAAACTCAGCAAACAGAGGGTTTGCTTCTCATCAGGATGAGATCCTCTCATTGTCAGGTGAGTATAGATCCTTACAACCAATTTTTTAAAATGAGAAGCGTGTGTGTTTGCAGAGTCAATATACACCATAGTGAGTTCACCTTTAATGAACCTCAGGGGTATGCTCAGAGGAGCTGGTGAATAATGATCGTATCCTAAGAGCTCAGAAGAGAGAGGCAGCCTGGTGTGAAACACACAACAAGTGCCGAGAAGGACAAGGAGACAGTGTAGTCCCAGAGCCATTAAAAAGGATGTCGACTAGAAGGGAGTGCGAGGCATTTTTGGAAATTTGCATAATATGGATTTGTGAACAGCAAATAATACTTCCGAAAGCCATGTCTCCCATTATGCAGCATGTGTACGTGATTTCAAAATTAGCTTGCCTGCTAAGTTGCCTCTTAGTCCAATGGAGTGTAACAAAGCTGAGGGGGATGCGGAGTGCATTAAATACATGTTTCTTAAAAATAAAGACCTCACCATGCATTTACTGTCCTCAGCACCACACATTATATATTTACATGGTCTGCCTCATTAGTTCCAGCTTACTGATTAGACCTAAAAGGATCTCCTTAACTTCTAAGATGCTTCCTTAGGGAACCAATGAGGTTTCTCTTCACCTGTTTTACTATGATAGAAACATTTAAAATTCATCTTTCCTCTACCAGATTCCTTTTCTTTTACTGTTTTAAAAAACTCAGAGTGACATGTTCACATGCAAAATGAAGCAATGAACTTTTCTGAGTTTTAGAGAAAATGATTAGTTTTGCAGAAGAAACCTCTCAATTCACTTCTTTGGAGCATCTTCAAGATATATCTCACTACCTCAGAATCCCTGGAAATGCACCAATAATTGAAAAATGATACAGCAGAAAACATTATTGGGACACAATGTGTAGACACTGAAACACAGAAGCAACGGGAAAATTTTGCATTCATCACTTCAGTGTTTGAGATACAGCACTCTACGATACGGAGACCCTCATGCCTGAAGGACATTGGACATTTCACTCTACAGGAAACAATTGTCCACCATCCTTGCATGGCAGGCTCCCTGATTTAGGTAGATGCTTAGTCAAAGTGAAATCTGTAGTAGTAATGTCCATCTCATGGACTCTGCAGCGCCCCCTACAGCCAGGAGAAACTCAGGATCTTTCCTGGTTTTAAACCTTGAAGTCCCTCTCCTGCCCAACTCAGACAAGGCTAGACTATCCCAGGAGAAACCAAAGCTGTGGTCAGGCCATCAGGCCCTTTGACCTCGAGCCAAATATATGCTCTCAAACTTCAGGCACAGCGAGCTTGAAGGCATCAGCAGATTGTACCTGAAACAACAAAACAAAGCATACACTGCCTTCCAGTCAAAGGCAATCATTTGTTTTAAATTACCAAGATGCACTTTCAACTTGAGTCTGCATTGGAGGAAGTAGAGACAGAAGCATTAAAAACAAGGTAGTTCTTAAACTGCATAAGGCTTGCTATAAACATGAACTGATTCACATTCCTGATTTATTTGGAAAATTTACTCAATGCTTCTAAGCCTAATAGATTACTTACTCACAATGGGTCATCCTTCACACTGGGTCAATAATAGATTAATGTCATTTGGTTACTTGTGAGAGTTGACTAACATGTTTTTTTATACAAATATGATACTCAAGAAAGCACATGGTGATAAAAGCAAATGTTGGGTAGAAACTATTATTATAAACATTAGAATATTAGGACACAGTAGAATTTATGTAAGTGAAGAGACAGAAGTTATGCAGAGAGACTAAGGATGGGGCGGGTAGATGCTAATGACACAGATCTGTCTGGTAATTACAAGTCTCCTCCTTGAGTTCTGGAATATGAAGAAGATAGAAAATTTCACTGCAGGCTTCACAGTTTGCCAAGGATACCTCCAGAGGGGCACTTGGACGGCAATCATCTCACTGACATGTGATGGAGGTTTGCACACTGTTGGGAGTAGTGCAGTGATTTTAGACCTGGCTGTTTAATCTCAGGTCTGTAATCTATTGGCAGAATGGCCATGAGAGACTGACCCTCTCTGTGAGACTTAATGAGAATTAGCCCTCCAGAGCTAGTTCATTTCCTTCATAGAAACAGAATCTCTTCTCTGTTTTGAGTAAGCATATTACTGCCCTAGGTTATGTTTGCCAGCTTTTCTTATCAGCAAGTATATTATGTGTCTAAATGCAGGCCAGTGAGACTTGCTATGAAGACTATGGTGCAAGTTTTTAAAAACTTCTTTCTTCATCTGCTTGCATAGAGACAGCTGTGATGGCTGGATCCCTAGTAGCCATCTGGAACATGAAGATAGTGGATGACGCTGAGCACATCCGTAATAGTACTAAAATTATTTTACACAAGAGAAACAAGGTATTCTATGTTTTTTAATCCATAGCTACTGAGATATTCTGCCATAGTAAGCCAACATAGTTTCCAGTTACTGTAATAATAACTATCCAGTAAGATTTTCTGAAAGCCATTTTAAGTATTTGGTATATGATCTGGCTTCATGAATGCATAGAGTCATACACTGTTTTAAACCTTTTCCTTGGCATTAAGAACACAATGAGGACTGTAACTGTAAAGTTCAGACTACTAAGGGGTCACATTATAAGGAAGAGACTATGAGAAACATGTAATGAAGTAAGTCAAGCTGACTTCACGTGGTACTCATAGAAAAAGTGAAGTGGGTTTATGTGAGTGGTAGTCAAAGAAGACCTCGGAGGAAATGAAGTTCAAACTAACATCCAAGTGATGAGAAGTGATCCAGTAGAGATTTTCAAGGAAGCACAATCTAGATGAGGAAAGCACAAGTCAGAGCACACCAAAGTAGGTTGCTGAGTATTATCTGATCAAAATAAGCCTTTTTGGCTGCAGCAGGGAAAAGGAGACTGAGGGCAAGAGAGGAAACTGAGTGGACATAGAGACCCGCTTGTAGAGGACCTTGGATAACTGGTGGAAGAGGCACCATCAGCATCATCATGGGAATGGACAGGATAGAATCCAGATCACACTGAAAACCATGATTAGTGCTCTTTAGCTCCACTGTGTAACTGCACTTATTTCTCACAATGCTGAGACCATTTTGCTCCAGTTGAAGCAAAGTGAGTAAGTATTTCAGTAGGGTCTCCAGGAGGGCATCTCACATCCTCTGAGGATGAGCTGTTGACAGATGTCTGCGGCAGTGGTTGGCCTGCAAAGAGTCCTGTCCTGTGGATCTGAACATGTGTGGGGCAGGGACAGCGCTCAAGAGGAAAGTGGAGGCTGAACAAACACATGTTCACAGGCATACACATGAATGAGGGGACAGGAAGGACATCCTACAGAGGCTGGTAGCTCCTTGACCTGAAAAAATGACCTGACAAAGAAGACTGTTTTTGTTTTTTAACTTTTAAGATTTGTGGAGTGTGTGTGTGTGTGTGTGTATGTGTGTGTGTGACAGGTACACAGAAAACCAATTTCCTCTTCCTCTCCCTCTTTTGCTTCATCTAACCATGAATCAGAGAGAAAAACAACTTAATGATGTGATATTTTGCTTTATTGAGGAGAGAACAGGTACAGACATTCCTTACCTGGGGAAATTGATACTGTACCATTAAGAACACTCACAGAGGGGTGAATCCGCAAACCACCTAATAGGTGAAGTTAAAAAGAGTGAGAATGGGAAATGGTTGCTGGGATCGATTCCAGACCTGCTTGCTTTATGATGCTTGTAATTGTTTGTTCAAGGGTTCCTGTATGGATTGTTTTTCTGTGATACTATCTGTCCTTCCTGAAATAAACGGGGACAGAATGCTGAACTATTGCCACGGTTCCTTCCATTGTCCAGAAATAAGCTACAATGATTTCAAAGCTTTTATTATTTTGAGGCTCACATGATCACACCAGATAGGGCATCTTTTGTAAGCTTGGGCGAGCTTGCCTTTCTTTATGCTTGTCTTTTTTGTCTTCCAGAATACTGAGCGGACAGGAAAGAAAATAGGTTTTCTTAAGTTGTCTCTGCATTCTTAAGGCTCTTATATATCCCAAAGGCACTGTTTGCAGCCAAGCCACCTTTGGGCCACTTAGAAAAGGAGCCAACTTTGAAGTACATTTTCATCCATTAGAGTGAGTTCTACTGTTGTTTAAAACAGTCAGTGTGAATCATCATACTGGCAATTTTAAAAAAGAATTTTAACCAAGGAAGAATACATGAAAAAATTTTCACTTGGCAAGGGATGGGGCAGTTTTTGGTTAGGAATCCAAAGAAATATCTTTGGCAACATAATAAAATTTTAAGTATTATATATTTCCCCTCCATCCTGGCTGATAATTCACTCACCAAAATTGACTCTAAAATACGTATATCTCTTAGGAAAAGGCTAAATGTTTGCAACTTTTACAAGGTTACTTTCACAAGTTAAAAAGGAATCCCTATCAAAATGTATTCTGCCATGGCTATTTTATTTTTTTCTGCATATCTCCCTCATTAATAATGGAGCCTTGCCATGCTATGTATGAGTCCATGGAGAGCATAACAGATTGTCCTGATACATAGTTCTGTGAAGACCACAGAAGCTCTAGAAAATCATCAGGCACAATGAAGCATGGATTTCTTGCCAGTTCTTCCTATCCCTTCTTTTAATTCATACAATTTCTCACCAGACTTTGCTAGACCTAGTATTTTAATGTCCATATATTCTGTTCTAGTCTTCTTCAACACAGCATGCAAGACCAACATGCTTCAGTGTAAGAGTGGAAGTCTGGGAGAAGCTTGTGCATGAAACAACAGGAAAGAAGGAGCCCAGAAGAATGAAGCAAGAGCAGGCATGCTGTCAAAGTATCCTGATCTGTAACTGGAGTGATGGGGCTTTTAATAAAACGGGGAAGGACCTTTTGCAAGCTCCTATGATCAGCATTAAAATACATCTTTCCATTTTTAATCTACCTGCTCTGGTTGGATTGATTCTTTGAGAAATAATGTGACTGTATAAGGGTGAGACAGTGCCATAGCCACCTGGTCATTGTTCCCGTTGGTCTAAGAAAATGAGGCATGTCTAAAAGTGGAACCTAATGAAATTTAATGGAAAACTTGCAATGAGTCCACCTGGGCAGGTAACATTCTAGGCAGCAGGGCCCCAGCTTGCCCATCTCTTTGGCTTTCAGCCCAGCAGGACAGTTCACCCAGGGTGTGTTTGCCTGTGAGATGCAGAAGCCTCCCAGGAAAAAGCATTGCAAGGGGAGAGAATAGCAACTCTTAAGCCTCATGAAAAGAAAGTAGGCCAGAGTAGGATAGGAAATGTAATTCTGAGCACAGCATAATGCTTGTTTCTTACATATAATTTGTGTCCCTTGTATGTACTGAGAATGGAGGAAGTCTTATAAGAAAGTGGGGACAATCAAACTAAAAAGGCTACTTGATTCCTTTTCCAGCGTGGCAGTCCTGCCTCACACTCTTGTAAAGTCAGATGGAATGAGAACAGTGGGAGGCCCTGGGCTTGTTGTGGCTGCAAGACATACATTCAGACTGAGGGATACGGTCAGTCCTTCTCCAGGGGCACAGAGGCCACATCGGCACTGGGGATGACAACTCTCCAACCTCTCCCCAACTTGGTCATTGTGCTTTGTAGTCACCCTTCATCTGTCAAACACACTGATGGTGGTGTGGAGGGGCCTCGACGCACCTTTGGACAATGTGACAAGTTTGAAGGGCATAACTCCCTCCGATCACTATTAGTGAAAGGTAAGCCGGGATGACGACACCCCAGACCTATGAACAGGAAATATTGTACATGCTGTGGGGAAGGTCTGTGTCTGGCTTTGTGTGAGTGGTCATGGGAAGTTTGTGAGTGATCATGGGAGGTTTGTCCATGGTCTACAGATGGCATCATCAAGGTTAGAGTTTCCCTACACTGGAAGGAGAAAGTAAGAATCTCTGGGTGGCCCCAAAGACAGGTGACCTAAAATTATAGAAAAAATGGCCTTGATGTTACAGTTTCAATAACCACCTTCTCATAGGCCCTCTGAATTTTCTAAGATTAAGGGATACAAATTTTGAGCAATTCTGGTTATGAATTTTTCAATTTGTCCCAAACTTTCTCCTGCATTTCCTCTTCCTCAGAAGTACTTCCCTTGCATATAATTCAAATCCCTATCAGATTTCATTTTTATTGTATTTTTCATTATTCATTCAGCTCTGCATCTGTCCCTCTGCTGTAGGCGATTTCCTTTGAAGTGCGAGTTTCTCAGAAATGACTCCTTTGTATCAGTGTTTCTGCCACAGTTCCCAATGTTCATCTCTAACACAGCCTGTGATAAGCCCCCACCTTGCCCAATGATGTCTCCCTTAAATTCCAAATGTCTTTCACTGTTACCTTTATCTGAGGCAAGTTAAACAGAGTGATGCACCCAAACCACTGAGATGGCCTTTCAGCTGTCCACTCTCACCCCTTTGATTGAGTTTCTAAGTCTGGTCTTGGATGGTTTTGAATGGTCTAAATAACCTTACACAACCCTCTTCCCTAGCCAATAATTTTTATGGCCTTTACCAAGCCTCGAACCTTGAAAAGTGAGCCTCCTGGCTCCTCTGCCCTAATCAGCACTCTATTTTCTCTTCTAAAATTGTCAGCTCTTTGATAGAATTTTGATTCTGCAATGTTCCACTACCATAGGAATTTAGCAGCACTGGGCCATGGTGATTATTGTTTGTATTCTGGACTTGTCAAAAGAGGAATCCAGGGACTTAATTAAGCTCCTGGAGACCACTCAGCAAGCCAATTCCCAAGACAATGACAGGCCAGTGCCCACAGCCTTGAGCTCACTGCCTCCCTCTGTGATGATAGTTGGCCTTGTCTAATGACCTGGAATTCTTTTCTGAAGCATTCAGGATGCATGGCCTATGACTTCCACCTTGTGTTAATACTTTTAGCTTTTATAAAGTAGCCATTTCTTTCCCATTCCAAGTCCTCTTATACTTAACATTTGGCATGGTTCAGTGAGTGTACCCTGCTAGGAAAGAATTTTTATCAAAAGAAGAAATTCTGGCCTCCATTTATGTTAAGATATTTTTTATTTCTCTTTTTCCTGGAAAGAATGAGGCACATAGGGTGTTGGCAGGAGGGAGGACAATAAAGGAGCCTGGAGCTGCCATGTTTTCATGGGGAATGCAGCTCCATTTCCCTAATATCAGGGTTTATTTATGTCCAAGCCAAATTCTTCGTGTTTGTTTCACAGCCAGGTGGCATGGAAGAATGCATGGCTCATTCCAATGGAACTCAATCAGAGCACATGCTTTCACTCAATCAACACAAACCTAATAAAAAATATCTGGGCTTCCCCATCATTTTCTCTCACTAAAGGAGTTTATAGCCCACAGCATGGACTTTAATTAAATTTGGACATCATATACCAAACAGGGAAACAACCAAAGTAAGCCAAGTCTTTATGTAAACTTCAATTACTTATTATGCTAAGGCAGAAAGACAGGCAATGTTCATTTTCTGGCTTATGGCTTTAAAATAACAATAAAATTTTTGACTGATGCAGAGGGTAAAAAGAGAGGGACTGCCACAGAATCAGTCCAGAGCTGTGGCTCACCGGCCCTCCCCTCACCACATAGGTAAGCATGACCCCTATATGAGCTCCCCTATATGGTTCCCTTCTCTTTCTTTAACATCTTAGTGTTGTGAGCAGGCATTAAATGTCTATGCTCAGAACTGCAACCACTGCTTGAATACTTTGCAATGACTGCCTTGGAGACTTTTCTCTTCCAGGGACTCCTAAGGCTATTTTGAAACAACCCTCTGGCTGGACCCAGTCGTGCTGAAAATTTGAGTCCCTGAGTTCCCCTGACTCTTAAGAATTAGAGTGAAGATGTGAGGTGGGGTCCTTTCACAACTTTCTCCCACTGAACTGATTGAGAGATCCAGGGCCAATTGCCACCATCAGAATGAGAGGATGAATCCATTTTACAGGAATTGAATTACTTGATTTCACACTTCCTCTGATCATATAGATGAAGAAAGAAATGTGTTAGCTAGTTCTTCAGTACTGTAACAAATAGCAGAGAAAGAAGATGCTTTATTTAGTGCTTTCAGAAGTTTCTGTCACTTGGCCCTGAAAGTTTTGGGCACAAGACGAAGCAGCACAGGGTGGCAGAGAGGATGTGGTTGTATAAACTGCTTACTCAGTGGCAGCCAGGAGGCAAAGAGAAAGAAAAGAGACCATGGACCCATCATGTATTGCAAGGGCATATCGCCAGTGACCTAAAACTTCAGCGGCCCTTACCTCCTGAAGCTTCCTCCCCCTGCCAGGAGTACCACACTGGGCACTACCCCTTTAACATACAGCAAATAAGTGGCAGGGCCAGGATTTAAATCTAAGCTGGCTGTCTCCACAGACTCAGGCTCAACAAATGATGCCCCAGAGCACAAGGCGGTGAGCTAGAAATGAGACACTGCAGTGACCATAGTACATTTTTAGTGACAAATGTCATCTGTATACCTTTCGTGGAGTCAAACCCCATCTTCAGCAAACTTCCAGCAGCTGGTACACCTCTGCACCAAACACCTTCTCAAGCAATGCTCCTTCTTAGAGGGGCCTCACTTGCTCTGGGCAGCTCCTCTTGGGAGCCCCTTTGCCTCTGCATAACTTCCACTCATTAGTCTACTCTCTCTTCCAGGTGAAGTTCTTTCTCCACTGCATGGACCCTGCTGCCTCATCTTCCCACACAAACGTCTCCAGTCCTGCTGCCTGTGCATGGTGGGCCCGCATGCCATGTCTTCCTGCAGGCTGACTTCAGGCCCATACTCAGTGAAAAACAGGGAATTATTCTTCAGAGTCTCCAGTGACCCAGGAAGAGCACAGAGCTCTTGCCCTGTCACTCCCCTCTCCTGTTTCTGGCTTTAGACCAGGCCAGAAAATGCCAAAACAGTCAGCCAAATAATGACCTTTGTCTTTGCAAGGTCTGATTCAGTCTCTAAGAGACTTAGAAATTCCAATGTTTTTTAAAATACATACAAACAAGATCAAGGGGTCCGAAATATGAAACTTGAGATATTAAGGCACTAACTCTCAGCCCAGTGCTGTGATGGCAAATGAAACTGAGATAAGCCCCAGAGTCACCTGTTTTCTGGGACTCCAGTTTGCACCCAAGCATCCCAGGCAGCACTGTAATGGTGGAAGCTGGTGTGGACTTGCTTAAGTGAGGTCACTGTTCTATGGTTAATGGCTCATGTATGGCATACCATGCACCTATTTTGTGTTCTTTTAAATTACCTACTTCATTCACCTTACCTTTAGGTTTTGGAAACTGTGCCATCCCTTTACAACATCCAAAGTTCTGAATAGAAACAGACACATTAAAATGCTTGCACTGTGTATATTCGCTTTGCAGACATAGAGACCCAAATTCCAACACTGCCTCTGCCACTCAGGATCTTTGTGACTTTGCATAAGTTAGTCAGTCTCACAGAAGCTCAATTTGTCTGGCATTTAATAAATTATGAATCTTTATAATCAATTTTATAATAAATTTATAATAAATATAATACAATAAAATTTATAATAAATTTTTAATAAATTATAAATTTCAATAAATTATAAATCTTTTGATTTCTGTGGTTACTTCTGTTTTCCCATCAGTTAAGTTTGATTGTAAGCAGTAGAAACCTAGTTTTTCAGATAGGATGGGATTTAAGGTAGATTACTTGCTCCAACAATTCCTACAAGGGATGGTGGATCAGTGAACAGGCCCTTTCTCTGAATAAATGAACACAGAGGTATAAAGTAAGCTGTAACTAGAGGTCAAGAACTAGCACTGTTGCTGCCCCAACTATTCCAAGACACTTATAAATATAAATTATAATAGCCCACACCACCAAGAACATTCATTTCACCATCAATAAAAGCAGCAGAAAAAGTCTCCACCTCAGCTCATCTGGAATCTT